TGCTTAATCTAATTTTTGGGAACTAATTAATTAAAATTAAGTTTAAAAAGTATCCTCATAATGTTGTTATTAATATAATTATTATATCAAATTTATAAAAACGTAGAAAAGTTATATATAGTGGCATAATTCAACATCTACATTTAAGCCTCAAGGGGTTATAGTGTCCAAATTAAAGATCCACCTCATCTTGGTTTGGCCTAAATCTTTTATTATATCTCCTCCCCTCCAATTGGTACACACATTTTGAATCCCAAAGAATTCTAGTAAACGTGGGTTATTATTATAATGTATTTTGTAATGTAAATGATGGTGACAACTATTTAGTTGTATAAAATTATTGACACCCACTATTTTAAAATGAGTTTGGGTTTTGATCTTTCCTTCCTCTATGAATATACATAGGTCCAAAAATTGGACCGAGAATTCACTAAAGTAAATTTTATGCCACAATTGTTGGAATTGAGGTAATGTAAAAAAATATATAAATCCTCCACTGTTCGCCAAATGAAAAATAAATCGTCAATATATCTGCGATAGGTCACCAGGTTCGCAACCCAGCCATGCCCTCCATATACAAACTGAAACTTCCAATATTCCATAAAAAGGTTGGCATAGCTTGGCGCAAACCTGGTCCCCATTGTAATCCCACAAATATGAAGAAAAATCATATCTTGGAACCAAAAATAATTATTGGTAAGTATAAGTTGTATTCCTTCCAAAATGAATTCTATATGTTTGATTGAAAATTTTTTTGATTCCCTCAAAAATAATTCTGTTGCTTCCCCTCTTTTTTTATGCTCTATTATGGTGTACAGTGAACTTATGTCCACTGTCACCATAATATTATTATTATTATTATTGCCATTTATATAGCGCCAACAGATTCCGTAGCACTTTACAATATTATTAGAGGGGGGATTTAACTAAAAATAGGACAATTACAAGAAAACTTACAGAAATGATAGGTTGAAGAGGGCCCTGCTCAAACGAGCTTACAGTCTATAGGAGGTGGGGTATAAAACACATTAGGACAGGAAATTGCAGTCAAATTAGGTGGGAGTGAAGCAGAGCTGGAGGAAAGAGTAGAGTGCTGCCCTTTAGGAGAGAGCAAGAGACAGGTATGTGAGGTAGAGGTTAGTCTGGGAGGCCATAGGCTTTCCTAAAGAAATGGGTTTTAAGGCACTTCTTAAACAACTGAAGACTAGGGGAGAGTCTGATGGCGGTAGGCAGGCTATTCCATAGGAAGGGAGCTGCCCACAAGAAGTCCTGCAAGCACGAGTTTGCCGTACGGGTGCGTGCAGTGGACAGAAGAAGGTCACAGGCGGAGCGGAGAGACTGAGAAAGGGCATACCTATGGATCTGTGAGGAGCTATAAGATGGGCTAAGATTATTCAGTGCTTTATAGGTATGGGTTAGCACTTTGAATTGACTCCTATAGTATACAGGAAGCCAATGTAAGGACTGACAGAAGGGTGGGGTGTGAGAGGACTGACTAGAGAGGAAAATCAGTCTGGCGGCAGCATTCATTACAGACTGTTGCGGGGCAATACGGCTATTGGGAAGACCAATTGGGAGAGAGTTACAATAGTCCATGCAAGAAATTACTAGAGCATGGACAAGCTCTTTAGTAGCATCTTGTGTAAGAAAGGGGCGGATGCGGCCAATGTTTTTGAGATGGAATTGGCATGATTTGACAACAGACCTGATGTGAGGCTCAAAGGTGAGGCCAGAATCAAGAGTAACACCAAGACAAGATGTGCTTGTAAGGATGGGCTGATATGTATATCACCAATCTGAAGGGAGAGCAAGATAGGAGGATTAATATTAGGAGGAGGAAAGACAAGAAGTTCTGTTTTGGAAAGATTCAGTTTCAGAAAGCGGGAGGACATCCAATCAGAGATAGAAGAAAGGCAAGAGGTGACACGTTGCAGGACATCAGGGGAGGAGAGATATATCTGGGTGTCATCAGCGTACAGGTGGTATTGGAATCCAAAATAGATAATAAGTTTGCCAAGAGAGGCAGTGTAAAGAGGAAATAGAAGGGGACCAAGGACAGAGCCTTGTGGGACTCCAACTGAGACAGGATGAATGGTGGAGGTATCATTAGAAAAGGAGACACTGAATGAGCATTGGGAGAGATAAGAGGAAAACCATGAGAGGACAGAGTCACAGAGACCGAGTGACTGAAGAGTTTGGAGAAGGAGAAAATGATCAACAGTGTCAAAAGCAGCGGAGAGGTCAAGAAGAATTAGTCTCAAATGAATCTCAAATGATGAGAAAGAGAGGGAAAGGGGTGTGGGTAGAGGTGTGAAGGAGCAGTGAGGTGAGAGCAAAAACCCTACACCACCACCTTTATTTTCTGAGTTTCTTGGGTTGTGGGAAAATTGAAGACCATGAAAGGATAAAGAGGCAGGGGTAGCAATGTCAGAGGGAGAGAGCCATGTTTCAGTTAATGCTAGTAATTGTAGGGAACAAGAGATGAAAAGATCATGCACAGTTGTGGATTTAGTAATACTGCAAATAGAGCATGCATTCCAGAGGGCAGTGTGGAAGGAGGATTTAGAGGAAGAGTAGCATCCTTCTCCCATACTATTTCTTCAAAAATTTGTAAGATGTTGGTGGTGTCTTTCAGATAGCTTGGACACTGTTACTACGGGTTGAAGATTTTGATCGATATATTCAGACAAACGACTAGAGATGGAATCAATGCCGGAAACTATTGGTCCACCGTGGGGTTGTTAAGATCTTTGTATATTTTGGGCAGATTGTAGAAAAACAGAATTCTTGGTGTCTGTATGTTTAGATATTTAAACTCATTTATACTTAAAATATTATTTTATTTTCCCTGTTCGAAAAAGGATTGACATGTCAAGAATTTTATATAACTAAATAGTTGTCACCATGATCCATGGCTTAAAAACTTACCCAGATCCCAGTTCCTCAGGATGAGAAGGAACTGTACAGACAGCGAAATATACGAAACTCAAGCTAACATGATAAAAAATAACTTTATAGAAAAAGGGTATAATCAAAAGATCTTGGAGACGAATATAAAGGAAGTCAAAGAGATAAATAGAAAATCCTTGCAAGAGTATAAACAAAAAGTTTCAGAAGAGAGATCAGAGAAAATTCCTTTTGTGTGTGATTTTTAATAAGAATAGTCGCAAGATAAAGAGAATCTTTAATACATTCTGGCTTATCTTAAAAAGTGATAACCTTTTAAACAAAATTTTACCAGAGAAACCACAAATAATTTACAGAAGAGCACCAAATCTTAAGTAAATATTAGTCCATAACCATATAAAGAAAGACTGTTTTTTTTGGTTGTGGGGTTTGTCTGGCATGTAAAAATACCAATAGCACAAAGAGACACATTACTAATTTTCAGGACTCCCATGGACAGAATAAAAAATATAAAATTAAGGAGCTAATTACGTGCAAAATACAAAAAATGTAATTTATGCCCTTAGATGTCCGTGCAATCTTATGTATGTAGGTAGAACCAAACGTTCCTTTCATACAAGAATTGAGGAACACATACGCATCAGAAAAGGGTATGAAAAACATAACGTATCTTTACATTACAAAATACATCATAATAATAACCCACATTTACTAGAATTCTTTGGGATTCAAAATGTGCGTACCAATTGGAGAGAAGGGAATATAATAAAAGATTTAGGCCAAACCAAGATGAGGTGGATATTTAATTTGCACACTATAACCCCTCGAGGCTTAAATGTAGATTTTGAATTATGCCACTATATATAACTTTTCTAAGTTTTTATAAATTTGATATACCATATATAAGCTGACCTGAATATAAGTTGAGACACCTAATTTTACCACAAAAAACTGGGAAAACGTATTGCCTAGCGTGAGAAATGCAGCAGCTAATGGTACATTTCAAAATAAAAATAGATACCAATAAAATTACATTAATTGAGTCATCAGTAGGTTATATGTTTTTGAATATTTATTTACAGTATGTGTGTCTATAATGAAAGCAGTGTGTGTGTGTATGTGTGTGTGTGTGTTTGTGTAGTGTGTGTCTATAATGAATGCAGAGTGTGTGTGTGTGTTTGTGTAGTGTGTGTCTATAATGAATGCAGAGTGTGTGTGTGTTTGTGTAGTGTGTGTCTATAATGAATGCAGAGTGTATGTGTGTTTGTGTAGTGTGTGTCTATAATGAATGCAGAGTGTGTGTGTGTTTGTGTAGTGTGTGTATATAATGAATGCAGAGTGTGTGTGTGTGTTTGTGTGAATGCAGTGTGTGTGTATTTAATGAATGCAGTGTGTGTATATAATGCAGAGTGTGGGTGTGTGTGTGTGTATAATGCAGAGTGTATGTGTGTTTGTGTAGTGTGTGTGTATATAATGCAGAGTGTGTGTGTGTTTGTGTAGTGTGTGTAAACTAGATATTTTTTATTATTTTAATATTTGTATTTATTATTTAAATATTTTATTTTTTAACTTTTTTTTGTCTCCCCTCCCTGCTTGTTACCTAGCCAGGGAGGGGGGATATGTCAATCCCTGGTGGTCCAGTGGCATGTGCTGTGCAGTGGGGGCCCGCAGAAGAAAACCTGGTAAACCGTGGCAATGCTCTGACGTCTGTGGGACTCGCGAGATTTAGACAGGGGAGCTGAAGGGAGACCCCCCCCCAGGACCGCCAGGCTTTTCATGAGTCCGGCGGTCCTGGTCTGTATTATGGCAATGTAAGGAAACATGGATGGAAGCAACATACTGATTAAAAAGGCCTGGAGGCATGGCGAAAAGCGTCTGGGACACCATGAGGACTCTACATTTGCATATATATTTTTAACTACTTTGTTTTATCTCCCTAGCGAAGCTTTTTATATTTTGCTTGTAATGTAATAAAAGTTTAAACGTTTCTTACAATTGAGTCCTCTTGGAATAATATTCATTCTATCCACATGAACAAGGGGGTTCTTGCCACTCCATATTTGGCATGCAGGTGTACAAACTTGGAGCCAGTACTATATGGGCTCCAAAACCAGGTGAGCAACGTCTTTTTGAACAACTAGTTGTGAACCTTTACCAACATCCTGCACTGTTGTTTTACATTTTATTTCTCCTTTATGCATATACCACGTTGGAGGCTGTGAAGGGGTACAAGCAAGAAGGTCCCTGTTCCTACCTTAAAGAAATAGAAAGCCAGTATGTTCAGAGCCATAACTTTCAAAAGGGTCTGGAATTGTGAGCATTCCCTCTTTTACATTTTGTTTTACTTATACCAATTGTAAACAATATTGTACTATTGTATATTTCTTCTTATCTCTTTTTCGGCAAATATATGTAAACGTCCCATGCTGTATGGGTGAGCCCTTGATTTTTTTAGTGCTGCTCTTTACACTGTTGTGTTTGGAGGGGGTGGTATCAACTAAACCTTGTTCTAGCACATTGTGTTTTTCTCACTATTGGATTTCTGGGTAAATAGGAGAATCCAAAGAGTGCTAAAGCTGCTATTAAACAAATATACATATTTTTTATATAATCCTACTAAGCACCCAAGTATCACACTAAAAACCTTTTCTTGTGTTAAAAATATATCAATATATAAACACATTTTTAAAAAGTGAAATCATTTTTAAAAATATAAATCAATTAAAAGTTTATATATAAATATTAAATCATTTGAATGTCTTATCCAAACATATTAAATTGAGGCCATAATTTAAGTCTTTTGAAAAGGCAAGTTATGAGATTAGTATAATTTAACTCTCTCAGAACAAAATGTTTTTGTTTTTTATTTAATTTTTGTTAGAATAGTTAATATGAATAAGAAATCTTTCAAAATGTGGCACTATATTTAGAGTTACATTGTGTTTTTTTCTTTAACACGTGTAAACACACATTGCAGAGAAGATTGATTAGTTCAGGGGTGTCCAAACTTTTTTCAAAGAGGGCCAGATTTGATGCAGTGAACATGCGTGAGGACCGACCATTTTGCCTGACATTTTTTGAACCATTAAAATTAAATGCAAATTAAGATTTTATGCTACGTTTATTGCAAACGGCATACTTTTCATTTCGTCACTTATTTTTCATATTCTGTCATATTCTGTCTCAGATCTCTTTATTCTGTCATCATACAGAGATCTCTTTATTCTGTCTCAAATATATTTATTCCTTCTCTATTTTTTCTGTCCCTTCTCTTTTTATTCTGTCCCTTCTCTCTTTATTTCTTCTCTCTTTATTCTGTCCATGTCTCAATTCCAACTCTCTCCTTGACCCTCTTCATTCTGGCTTGTGCCCTCTCCACTCTACTGAGACTACTCTTATCAAAGTCACTAATGACCTAATCACAGCTAAATCCAAAGGCCACTACTCCATACTAATTCTTCTTGACCTCTCTGCTGCCTTTGACACCATTGACCATGCTCTCCTTCTTCAAACTCTTCATTCACTCGGTCTCTGTGACTCTGTCCTTTCGTGGTTTTCCTCTTATCTCTCCCAATGCTCATTCATTGTCTCCTTTTCTAATGATACCTCCTCCCCTCATCCTGTCTCGGTTGGAGTCCCCGAAGGTTCTGTCATTTGTCCCCTTCTATTTTCTCTTTATACTGCCTCTCTTGGCAAACTTATTACCTCATTTGGATTCCCTTCTCGGTCTCTCCGCTCTGCCCCTTGACCTTCTCCTGTCCGTTGCTCGCACCCGTACAGCCAACTCACGCTTGCAGGACTTCTCTCAGGTGGCTCCCTTCCTATGGAATAGCCTGCCTACCTCCATCAGACTCTCCCCTAGTCTTCAGTTGTTTAAGAAGTGCCTTAAAACCCATCTCTATAGGAAAGCTTATGGCCTCCCAGAGTAACCTCTACCTCACATACCTGTCTCTTGCTCTCTCAAAAAAGGGCAGCACTTTACTCTCTCCTCCAGCTCTGCTTCACTCCCACCTTATTTGATTGCTATTTCGTGTCCTAATGTGTTTTATACCCCACCTCCTATAGACTGTAAGCTCATTTGAGCAAGGTCCTCTTCAGCCTATCGTTCTTGTATGTTTTCTTGTAATTGTCCTATTTATAGTTAAATCCCCCTTCTCATAATATTGTAAAGTGCTACGGTATCTGTTGGCACTATATAAATGGCAATAATAATAATAATAATAATACGAGGGATAGATTAGTGGCTCACTTGGTATGAATCGTGCATAGTGGAGTATTTAGAAAAAAAACAATGCAGGGTCTTCCTGACCCAATTTTATCTGGGAGGATGACTAACAGTCTAATAGTAGCCAAGCTTAGCAAAACTGCATCCTTCTGGCCCACCACTAATCCAAATCAAACCAAGCGATGTCCAATCTATGACCTCATGTGTCACCATGGTCCTAGGCACCAACACACCTAATGTCCCAAAACATAAAGCTACTTACCCTTTAGAATAAGGAGATATAACTCCTTATAAAAAAAGTAATAATTTATACTCATCCATTGAACTCTTGCTTAAAGTGGCTCTATTTGTGTCTCCCGTCAAAAAAAAAGGAAGCCATACAAAAACAAAAGAAAATGGAAAAGGTATTTCTTACTATTGGAAAATCTAGCCACTGCTCTGGAGGGTCTGGATTAATTTTGATTTATTTCAGATTTTATTGTGAACAGGTCAAGAATGAATGGCTATGCAAGTGGCAAGGGCTTTAATATGTCACTCTTGGTTTGAAATATTGTAAGTACACTATGATTAGCCGGTTAGCAGGTTGCACTGTTGCAAAGTTTGCCTTGCAGTGCATAGAGGTGAGAGACCTGCTTGGCTGTATCTTGTTAAATGGTGGGGTTCTTTGGAACATAGATTAGTTTTTCTATATATATATATATATATATATTTTAAGCACTTTTGTTTAATTTCCCGGTGGGCTGCCCTTTTATAAGACAGTTCCAACTCTGCTAATACCCTTGTAGCCACCCCACTGCGCACACTGTTTATATGTCCCAAAGTTGGAATATATTGCAAAGTATCCAGAATCTCTCCACAATTTCAATATTCATATTACTTTATAATTTACCTTTTTCTCCAGAAATCAAACCTTCCATGACTTAAAAAAATAAAATAAAAACAATTACACTACTTTCTATGTTGCATAGATATTTCTTGAATACATTCTCATGTTGGCATTACTACACTATTTTTAGTGCATACCTAAACAATATGCCAATGAAATGTCTTCTGATTCCTTCTGTGAATCAGTCAAACTCTACAAATTATCTAGAATATTCACATTCATTTCTCAAATACCTTTTCCTCCAGGAATCCATCCATTTGGCCCTTAGAAAAAAACATTTAAATTGAACGTAAATTAATTTAGATGATATGCACACATGTTTAGAAAATTACAAGTACATTATTACATTCTCTTTGGAAATTAAATCCAATTTAGTATTTATATTTAAAAATTAAACTCAAATTAAAAAAAAAAAAGATGTGAAAAAACATAAATTATTCTGTTTGAAATTTTTATTTACACAGTCTTGTCATTTTTTTTTAGTGTAGAAAGCATTTAAATTGAAGTATATTAACAAAAATAAAGTGTTTCACTATTTCTGTCCTTGTGAATATATATTAGCAAGGATAGAAATAGTAAAAAAACGTTATTTTTGTTAATGTAGTTTAAGTTGAACATGTCATTTTAACTCTTTCCAAATTACCTTTCTCGCCAGATGTCGATTCTTGTCCATAAATAAGAGATAGACAAAGAGAGACAGAGAGAATGAGTTACTTTAAATTAATAAATATAAATACACGGAAATAATTCAATATCAATAAAGATTAACATTATAACTTATACAATTATATGTTTCTCGATAACTACATCCCTGAACTGAAATAAACCAATAAAAACAAAAATAGATTTCAATATTGAAATAACTTATTAACTTAGAATTAAAATTCAATACAAAGTAGGCAGATTTAGTGTATACGCACCCCATTTGCCAATTACATCCCCTGGCTCATTTGGATTTTCAATTTCCACTGTCCATTCTGTTTAACATGGCACAGAAAGCAGGTTTTAGAGTTAGTTTGAAAATAACTGTGATCTTTGTGAACAATAACAATAAGTGTCAGTGAGATCCAAACATACTATAGATGGCCTTTCCGAAGAAATAGTTAATATTGCAAATGCCTTGGAGGGATTTTGCTGACTTGAAGGAGCAGATTATGAGCATGATGTGCAGGGCTGCTGTTTAACCCCTTAAGGACACATGACATGTGTGACATGTCATGATTCCCTTTTATTCCAGAAGTTTGGTCCTTAAGGGGTTAAACAATACCAGCTGTCAATCTTTCGTAATAATATAATTCTAGATTGAATAGTTATTTCACCTTTTATAGACACATACAGATTCCACTGTCCCTAAATAGTGCAACATAGCATATGATTTGTTGGTCCATCGTCATGTTTGGTTCATGCATTTCCACATATGGCCACAAGGGGTATATGGCATAATACGTAGTTGTGTAGTTAGGCACTATGACTTACCTGTCCTGATCTGTTCCCTGCTTATTTACAAACATGAATTTGCCTGTTTTTCTTTCTTTGATGATAAAGTGCAGCTAGACTGCATGCAGATATTAATGAATAGTCAATTTAAAAAACTTAAAAGAGAAATGTTACTTTCTGTTACTCTACCATCTGCTATTGTGCACAGTTTAAAAATGTGATTCATCCAAAATAATATTTTAAATAAGTAATATATATAATTATGTTTTCAGGTATCAATACTTTTACATTTGGGCACACTAATAAAAAAAATCTGATTATTCATCTAGTATCTGTAACACTGACATTATGTATGATATTTCTCTTTCCATTAAAAACATATTTAAATTAAAAACAAAAATTTGGATCTATTTGCCCAGAGAAAAATAAAATAGTTTCAGGCTATTCTGGATCTATCCATGTGCTGTTTTAGTTCTGACAAATGTCGTCCAAGCACTTGTAAAAGAAAAAATTAATCAGAAGGACCAAAATGACTCCGACATTAAACAATCAATGCACTGCAATCTGTAAATAATATACATTTATTTTATAAATCACTGATAGGTGCATTCTCACACAATCCTGTTATCAGATCAAGGGAGATGTAACCAATACAGTTACTCTGTTCGTCACTTTTCACTTGATCTGTTGAATAAAATCCACATTTACTGGCTGTCACGGACAAACTCTGTCTCAAGAAACAACACAAATGGATTGTCCATTGTTCATTTTGTTTGTTTTGTGATGTGTCCAAATATAATTTCAAAGTTCAGGATGTCATACGATTAACCGATTGCCCAAAATGCAGAGGAATCTCAATATGTTTGAAATTGCATGCACAAGTCTATTGCACATTCTATTCTATTTATTCTATTTAGCGGAGCACAATAATAGACTTGTTTGTAACCTGTTTGTAACCTGTTTTACGTTAGTGAATGCTGGAAGTAAAAATAATAGAAGTTCAATGCAACTCGACTATTTGAGAATGGGCCCTCAAGTGTCATTGTGAACATAGTTTAGTGGAACTTTATGAAATATAGATTATAGATTTGCTTTGCAAAATTTATTCCTTCTAAAACCATAACAACTTAATGGAATACTCCAAGGACCATACCCACTACAGCTCATTACACTGTTACCAACACTCAGTGTTGTTTATGGTATTTGGTTTGGTTTATAGTATTATAAGTCTATGAACCGCATCCATTATTTTTCTTTCAAATTTGTTTTAAGCAATTTTACAAAAGCTAGGGTTTCTGCACTCGAACGCCATAGCATCAGAGAATGTGGCTGTAAGTGAAAGAAAGAGCACTAGTGTTTTTTTACGTGTTCTAAAAGTTTCGATATAATCTACAATAAGATATAGAGATTATGGAATTTATCAGGTCATTTTTGGCTGCCAGATATTCACTAAAATTCCTTAATTACAGAAAAGAAGGATTAGTTTGTTATACCAGTCACTCTGTTGACTCTGTTGATCCAGTTCTTCATTCTGGTACTAAGCAGCCAAATATATTTCTAAGATACTATGTTGCAAATCTGAAATTATTTTTTTTTTTTTAATTCATTATATGTTAAGAATTACCTTCTGTTCATTTGAAAGGGGACTCCCCCCAGTCACTCCATAGAGGAGACCAAAGCTCACTACACTCACAAAAGTAAAACCACACGCGTAATCGGAAGGTGCATTAGATCAACCCAGGACATAGAGGACTAAAATAGGCACAACAAATGAGACATACCAACAGACAGGTACAACGTATACAGTTTTTGTGTTACTTTTTCAGTACTGTTATTTTTAGGTTCCACCTCCCTCTCTGTTATCCTACCCCATGTTTATTGAAATGTATAGATTGAGAATACACGTGGTACCCCGATATACAGGTGTACATCAACGGGCAATAATTAAACAGGTCAAGACCATTGCCAATGGTATTATAAGTTGGATGTAAAATAGTTGGTGGAACAGTACTGCTTTATGGGTCGAATTATATAAATGTTCCACAATATTCCTGCAAATCCCCACTCCCCTCTTCCTTTCTGAACCCCAAGTACTATTTTCAATTTAACCAATAAAAATTGTCAAATTGGAAAAAAACATTACCTTCTGTTAAAGGTATGTTTCCATGAGGATCTGTAAAAGGGAAAAAAAAAGAGTTGGCTTTGTTAAATAGCTTTCTAAGAACGGGAACCAGTTGTATACTCTGCGTGAATTAACACTGAATTAAAGAAGAAAATACTTAAAAGCTTGCATTCTTTAATTGCACACAAGATGAACACTTTATGTTAAATAATTGTAATGTCAATATCTTACCACTAGATTTATCTAATGTATTTTTTTTTCCTTTCTTGCTAATAAGACTGAAATCTAGTGGTTGTATTTTTTAACTAAAAGCCAAGGTTAAAACGATGATAATCATATATTAATACTGACACCTTGTGGTTACATTTTAACAATACAATTATTATTTAATTGTTCATGTTTCATATAGTTAAATCTAGATAAAAGTCCTTCACTTTAGCTAAATTCTATAGAAAGGGTTTCCACAATAATTTATCAAATTCAAACATTAATTACCAGTTTATGCAAATGTTCAACAATGCAGGTGGGTTAATGTTTTGTTTTTTTAAATGGGGAAGGATTTTGAATGTTTACTAAGTGATTTGTTTGAAGATTAGCCATAAAAGATTGGTTGGCCTTAATGGGATATTTCACTGCCCAAATACAAATATAAAATATCACTATTAGTAAATATGCCTTAAATGAAAACTTGTGTGCATTTAATTTATTTTTCCACTGGATGTTATCTAAAAACAGCTTGTAAAAACTGCAGATCTCTTGTCTGCAGCCTTTGCCAGCCCTCCCTTTCAAACTCCACCCACACCTGCTGTGGCTGTCCAATAAAGTTTTCCCAAAGCAGCTTAATGGGAAGTCTTTGCAAGGCAGGTGCTCTGGGCAATTGCTGCCTTTTGGGTTTATCTACACTGAGCTAAACAAACCAGGAAGTAACAGAACCAGGTGTCTGACTGACAGCCAAGGGGGTGTAACAAGGTTAATTTATAAAAGTGGCAATTTCTATTGAAATCTGCACTTTTTGTAAAATGGAAAAAGAGGGCACACTCTTCACACATAAAGCAATCCAGCAATCTTAACTTCTTTAGAGGTCTGGAGTGTCCCTTTAAAGATGAGATTTGCAAAGAAACAACTAAACAATGCTCAACAACGAGCAAATTTCTGACAGGGACATCCAACCAACCACTGAAGAACCCCGACTGGCTGACTGACTGAATTAATTAATATATAACACTCATTCTCTTGCTAAAACTGGTTGAAAAAAAAACTTCAGCAGTACCTTTTTTTATATTTCTTTGTCTTTATTGAAATTTTTTTTTCATATACATACATTTATTTATGTTCATGGAATATATACAGTGTGGTATTCCAACATAAATACATAATTAACCTCATTCCTCATTCATTCTTTTGATCATTAACATAGCATAATATTATAAGTTTTGGTCTATTAACCTTTAACATGACTAAATTCATAGAGAGTTATAAGATAATAATTATTCAGGCAGAAATAAGAGTTTCCCTTCCTTTAACTCTCCTTTCCTATCTAATTATTTATTTTATACTCAGGGTGTATAATTATATTTAATTTATAGGATATTATCCCATATACTCCATATTTTTTATATATTAATATCTTATTTCACTTTCTATAGAATCCTTCCTCCATCTTTGGTTATTTATTATTGACCACATTGGTGTCATTGGTTTTTCCAATATCTGGCTAATGTGAGTTTGATTGCCATTAAAATATGAATAATTCATATTTTTTGTTCATAATTGCAATTTGGAAAACCTAAATGGAATAAAAATGTCTGGGGTAGTAGTACCTGTTGTAGTCATAATTTTACAAATATATCAGAGATCTTTCTTTTTAGCTCATTTAGTTCTTCCCATTTCCAGCACATATGATATTTTGTACCTACTTCTTTAGAACATCTCCAACATTTGTCTGGGTAATTATTTTTCATTTTTTTGATTCCATATGGAGTGATATACCATCGGTGAGTGAATTAAAAAAAGGTCTCCTGTATATTAAGGCTGTGATTGATCTTCCTGATCTCAATACATCTATCTCCCCAAGTTTCCAGTGTAAATGATTTATTTATATCACTTTCCCATTTTTTTTAATTTAATTGGGTTTATCCATGACCATCAGATCTTTAACCATGTGTGTCACTTTAGAAATGTGTCTGTTTTGATAATATTTATTGATTCAATTTTGGGTGTACTTTAATATCTAAGGAATTTAATAGGTGTCTTATTCTAACATAATTGTACCATTCTTGATTGGGCAATCCATATTGAATTTGAATATCTATAAATGATTTAATTTCCCCTAAGGGAGCAATTTGAGTTATATTTTGGATATCATATTCTATCCATTTTGATAAGTCTATATTACCAATAACGAAATTAAGAATTTCAATTGTTGTGGAGTTTATTAATTCATTACAAATGCCCAATGTCCTTTTAAATAATTTAAGAGTTTTAAGTTTTTTGTTAACAATTTTATTTGATGATGAGAACTTTTTATAATTTTCAGAACCAATCCATGCTAATGTAAATAGAGTATTACTTTTTGTTCCATATTTTTCCAGCTGGGATCACGATTACTAAAATTGTTCCATTTCAAAAAGTGAGTAAGCATGGAGCAATCATATAATTCTATTATATCAAGAAGATTTGTTCCACATTTATTCACTCTTTAGTGAGCGTATTATATTAAACTTTGGGTGTTTTATTCCCCCAAATGAATTTCATATACAATTTTTTAAATTGTTCGAGTTTTGAGCGTGATACTCTTATTGGTATGGATCAAAATAAATAGATTAATTTTGGTATTACATATGCCAAAATTGTATTTATGCATCCCATCCAAGAGATTTCTAGCCCTTTCCAATTTTGAAAATTTTCTTTAAATAATAATAAAAGTTTCTTATAATTCAGTTCTACAATTTTATCTATATTTCATAAAATTACAATTTCTAGATAATCTATGGTATCATTATAAAAGTTCAATTTAAACATTTCTTTTTAATACCTTAGATTTTCAGAATTTATTTTGAAAGAGATTATTTGTGTTTTATTCATATTTAATTTATAGCCAGAACAATTGCCAAAATCTGAAATTAATTTCAATAAATTTGTTATTGAGCCTATTGGATTAGAGAGAGTTAGAATAACATAATCCGCATATAGAGTAATATTATGATGTTCTGAATAAATCTGCAGCTCTTCAATTTTATCATTTTATCTAATTGCTGCTTCTAAAGGTTCCATAGCTAATACATAAAGGAGTGGCACCAAAGGACAACCTTGTCTGGTGCCATTCTGAATATCAAAACAATCAGATACCATTCCAGGACATATGACTCTAGCTTGTGGGTTTGTATTTAATTACATTGTACTTGTACTCTCTTTAAAAAAGCCTGTCAGGCCAAAGTTCTCCATCACCAAGCCCAGAAATTTCCAGTTCACCGTCAAATGCTTTTTCTGCATCTAACGCTATAAAGACTGAATCAGCTTCAGCAGTACCTTAATGGGCTTCCTTATCTGGTTAATAAGACCATGAGGTATGTTTAGCATAAGCACATTTATTTTGAAAGAAATACAGTAACATGTTTTACTTTATTTTTAATTGACATTTTAAAATGTTGTTAGCAGCAAATAGATGTTATGATGCCCGTAAACACTTGTTGAAATTTTAATGTAACCTAAAGTCATATTACCCCACCGCTATGTATGCCAGAAAATTCATGAGGAGGAGATGAGATCCATCCCTCACAGACACCAAGAAGTGAGGTGATTATTGTTCCTATTCCCTTTGTAGCGACAATGTTATTTCATTTTATGTATTTTTTCTGCACATGTTATACTTATGTTGACCACACTAATGACATGCAGAATCTTTCTACCCTAGCTCACCCCATTATGAGGCTGCTACAGCTTCCCCAATGCATGCTACCACATAACATGACCTATGGCAGACTTGAATACAAACACGTCGCCTTCTATCTCTCCATATGAGTATTTTAACTATAAATGCAAGAGGATTAAACACTCCGTAGAGTGCCACCAGTTTTTTAGAGAAGCAAATGCACACGTGATCTTTGTGCAAGAAACTCACTTAGCGATATTGAAACACCCTATGTTACAAACTGCAAAACCTCATTGGCCACCACTCCATGGCACAGACCAAAACAGCAGGAGTCTCCATTGTAGTTCACAAGAGCATTGCATTCCAACTACTATCTAAACCAAGCATGTCAAACTTGCAGCCCATGCCTGTCTGTTTCCTGTATGCCCTCTGACGGCCACAAGAGCGCTATGCACTAGTCCACACCGAACATCGGATATGCGCATACAGCATGTGAAGTCACTCTACAGGCTCTACAGTGCACAGAGAGGCTGTCTGTCTGCAGAGTAGGCCAGTCACTTCTCCTTGACTCTTGCTCACAGTGCCAGAGGAGCATCTGGCCTGCTTGAGCAGAGCAGGGCTGAAACTGGAGAACAGGTGTAAGGTAGGAAAGATAGGCAGTGTATTAAACTGGGGGAGGGACAGTGAATTAATTTGTAGGAGGAAGGGGACAGTGTGTTAGAGTGGTGGGAGGGTATTCAATTAAAGTGGAGGGAGATGGGGCAGTTTATTAGATTAAGGGGCATTGTATTAGATTGGGGGAGGGGGCAGTATATTAGAATGGAGGGAGCAGGGCAGTGTATTAGATGGGGCAGTGTATTAGGTGGGGGCAGTGTATTAGAACGGGGGTAATGTATTGGATTTGGAGATGGGGCAGTGTATTAGGTGGGGGCAGTGTATTAGAACGGGGGCAATGTATTGGATTTGGAGGCAATGTATTCGAATGGAGGGAGGGGCCAATGTATTAGATTGTATTAGATTGGGTCTGCATAAAGGAGCTGAGCATCAATGGAGGAGGGTAGGTCACCAGTGCCGAGGGAGCCTGGCGCTAAATTAAGGTAAGCAAATAAATAGTTAATTAACCAATGTTTCGGTGACTAGGGCTCTATAGCGTTAGTGTGATGAGAGCAACCTCGCCACATTGCATTGGAGAAGCCTGGTTGCTCGCCTGTTACCTTTGGATTATGGCCCCATGTTAAAAGACTTTGTTTCCCCTGCAGAAAAGACTTATTCGTGCTTTTCTGCCTGGTGTTCGGTAGATTCAATCTACTGAACAACCACACGAATGACTAGACCACCAGGGAGCTGGAGTGTGTCGGCAATTAGCCTCCCAGAAGCTGCGGTTAACCGCAGCTTAATTGACGAATACTGGGTGGCCGCCATTCGTATAACGAACACGAGGTCGCGGCCATTTTAAACACGCAAACGCACAGCGGTGTTCAACGCCTACCTCATGGAACTAAAAATGGACACAGTTTGGCACGAACACCGCTGAAGCCGCCGATCTCCCTTCTTGTTCGGTGAAAGTACACGAACGGCCCGCTATTCGGTAGTTGTACCTGACTGCACTATACCCCAGATAGGAATCCCATGGAGCTCATTCGTATGAGAACTGACTTTGTGAAGACTTTGGCTCCATGGCGATTAAACTGTATTCTTGTGGTTTGAGCACCATTCGCTTAATAATGTGCGCTCAGACCTGAGCTATCTGGGGATATGTTAAATGTATAGTTTTATTGTAACTTGTGTCACATAGTGTATTTTAACAGTAATTCTTATTTTATTATCCCCACGTGCATAATGGTGATTTGCCTTTGTCCTGGGAGATAATTGAATTACTTCTCAATTATCTCCAGGGCAGAGGGGAGGAAGCCAGGATGCATTGTGGGAATATAATGTGACTGTGTGTCCTAGATTGCTGATTGTCTGTCCTTCGTCACAGTCTCCCATTTGGTCCCCTAGGGGAGTGTCCACCAGGTGGGAGACATGCATAAATACTGGGCAGGTAGCCCTCATTAAACAGACCACTGCTTGACCCTCAACACGGAGCCTTGTCTCGTCTTTGGGGGGATTTACTGAATGCTCATAGAGACTGATTGCTAGGAGTGTAAGCCGCTTGGGTGCTTTTCCTATTCGTCTGCTAGCAGCTATTCGTATGGTTCCAGTTCGTGAGTTTGGAGTGCTATATTGTATGCCGTTCTGGAGTTTGGAGCATTCCCTTACATGCGGTTCGGGAGTTTGGTGTTTTGCAGTAGCTGTGGCTGCATCTCGGAAAGGGGACGATCGCCTAAACGGTTTTAACCCCTTGTGTGCTGAAACGGTCCGTAACAGTTAGGAATACATATTTGTATTACTAATTCTATAGTGTTCCTTTAACATATATTCTCCAAACAATTAGACTTTCTAAAGATAATAATTCATAAAATGCACAAGTAGGAACAAACAACATATTAATAATATGCAGGGACTTTAATAAACCTTTAGACCCATACAGCAGGAGTCTCCATTTTAGTTCACAAGAGCGTTGCATTCCAACTATTCAAGGTTGTGGGCATACTCATTCTACCCCTTCAGACATCTTAGCTATTCAAGGATTGGCTATTTTCTAATAGACAAAAACTCTCAAGTATTTAGCCAACAAGTGTCTAAATGTCCATTAAGACATGACTCTTGGTCTCACCATGCAACAATGTTCTTCTCCTTAACGGAAAAATAAAACTATAGGGGCAAGGGGGGATAGAGGCTAAATGGGTCTCTTATAATGGATGAGCAAATACGGACAGACATAGGCAACCATATTAAAACATATTTTCAAGACAGCTATCTACAGACTGACCCAGCCACCTCGTGGTTAGCAAAGCTGTAATTAGAGGTAAACTTGTACAAGTAAACAGTTTATCATTAATGCACAAATATATATTTTTTGGTTAAAAACAAAAAGTCAGTAATGTTAGATTTGTAGTTGGTCATTAAATAAATATGTAAAAAAATCAATATAAAGATGATATTTTTAAATTGAAATAAAAAATAAAACTGTTGGATCTGTTCAACTATTGTAACTATTGGTAGTTAGAAATATTGGTCCACAAATTATAATTATTGTAATAGAAATCATTAGCATTCCACATTTTGTAAAGTTGTAGTAAAATATGTACTTACTATTTTCAAGTGCTTCCACTTGCGTTATTGGAGTTTCCATTTCCATAATCCATTCCTCTAAAAATACAACGAGAATAATGAATTGAAGGTGGCCGCCTCTACCCAGTCACTTTCATCCACCCTCCACATACCCCACCTCCAAGACACATCCTCCCATCTCTAAACCACATACCTCCACCTCCTACTCACACACCCTTACCCCCCTAGCCAAATATCCCACCTCCCAGTAAGATATCTTTACCTCCCAGCCACATACCATCACATCCCAGTAATATACCTTAACCTCCCAGTCACATACCCCACCTCCTAGTCACATACCCCACCTCCTAGTCACGTACCGCTACCTCCTAGTAACATACCTCCAGCTCCTAGCCACTTACACCCACCCTGCATATATCCACCTTCCAGCCACACATCGCCACCTTCTGCCCACATACCTCTACCTCATTGTCACTTGTACCCAGCCTGCACATATACCCACCTCCTAGTCACTTACACACCCTTTATATGCCCAGTTACTTACACTCACACATTTACCCATTTAATCATTAACAGTCAGCTGGTTTATTAATGGAACCTTGTCGAATAACCATTGATAAGAAGAAAACAAACTGGAGGATAATGATGGAGAAGGACATGGTATCAGTGAGAGGGAATAGCTCAAAGTAAACCTTATACTTGCTCATAATAAATACTTCACTCAATGGAAATTTCTATAATACTGTATGGAGTATGAAGTACTCACTTCCATATTGTTCCACTCTGCCGCTTGTATTTCCTATTACACCTGTATAAACAAATTGTTATATGAGTTCCGTTAATCAAATACATTTGGCGAATTTCCTGGTCCCTCATCATTAAACTATAATTGTTTATTTCTATATATAAATATATCTTACTGTTATTGTAGCTTAAAACCATTGTGAATGTATTGATGCTTTTGAGATATGGATAACATTTAAAAAAAATCCCAGCATAATGAAACATGGATGATTTATGGGGAGATTATAAGAGTATAAATAAATATATACATATCGCAGCTTAAAAAAAGTTGACTTTGTATAATCATTTTTATCTATTTTCAAATTAAACCTTTACCAGATTAGTCTCAGTATAAATATATTAACTTACCAGTGGCTGGTTCTGCCAGAAACCCATAAGCTGTGCAGGATGTAAACCCAGCACTAATAAGTCCAAATGCAACCCTTGGGTGGTACATTGAATGAAAACTCACACCACCACCAAAGCTATGCTCTGCCCAGGAATATTTAGAAGTGGGGAACTCAATCCACTGCGGCCTGCTTTCCAGAGGTTTCCCATCAAGCAGAAGTCCTTCTTTTTCAGAAGTCTCTATAATAATGAAAACTACATTCAGGTCAAAGTCTTCTTGACCATGGATGACAAATGATTTTTGGAAAATATTTTCTTCTGGTATTTGAGAAAGGAAGGACCCAAAAGGTATTCCATCATATACCCCGGCATTGCTGTAAAGTAAAACCTGGACTGTTTCCTTGGCCTGTATTTCTAAAGGTTTGGAATTATGAACCTCTATCTGGTGCAATTGTCCAGCAGATAACGGGATGCTCTTTGAATCTCCTCCTAATTTATAATCTAGATTGAAGTCCTTAGAGGCAGTTATTAAAGCTACATTAAATTTTTCTTGACGAGAAAATGCTGGGATAAAATATCTATTGCCCCATTTAGATACAGGCAGAAGTTGCTCATAGATGTGATTGCATGCTTCATTGATCTGTGAACACGTGTGGCCACTAAAGACAGACACAGGATTCTGAGCAAGTACTCGTGTCCCGGACAAGTCATTCTGGCTTTGAATCTGAATAGTGTGAAATGGTTCCAGAACTACTGAGATCTTTTGACCCTTTAGGTAATCACGTCCTTGAAAACTAATGTCTTGTTTCAGATATATGTCGATGGATGTTGACTGATTATGCGCTACTACAGCAAACTGTTTGTATTCACAGGAAGGTCCCCACGGTGGAGTGACCACAACGTACTCAACACCCAACTGATTAGAGGGATAGAGCAATGTGGACTCAGCACCGGTGGGTTTAGAAGTGGAAGATAACACAGTGACATCAGCATCAGCTCTTACAATTACAGTTGAGGTAAAAATCCCTGTGCCGTGCAGCTCGATAATTCCACTCAAGGGGACTATTACTGTTTCACCTGCCCCTACTTTAAATTCTTGCTTGAAATTAGATTTATTAATGGTAACCTCAACAGTTGTAGCTGGCTTTGCACCAGTTACTTGCAGTTGCAGTTGAGCAAGATCCTTTGGACTGTGATTTTGCATAAATATTGCAAAGAATTCTTTCCCTGCAGGGTAAAGAGAGCTATTTGTCACACAGGAGCCTGTAACAGAAGATAATGAAATGTAATTCAGTATTAAATTATAAATACATTGGAAACACAAAATAGAAAGGAGACATCTTATTAGACATCTTATTATTCTCCCTGTTACGTGTTAAATTTATATATGTATGTATGTATATTGTATTGCTTTGTTTTTTTATTTGTTTTTTTTTGTCGTATCATTTTGTATCCTATTGTAACGGTGCAGTGTTAGTGGACCCAGGACAAATTTGAAAATGAGAGAAATCTCCATGTTTCCTTCCTGGTAAAATATTTTATAAATAAATGCAATAAATCAATGAAATACTATATAGATATTGCCATTCTGCTCCTACTTTTCAGCAATCACTGAGATGGAATCTGCATTTAATGCCACGGAATCCTATACATAACCACAAAAAGACACAGCGTGATTTACTAATGTTAGAATTTAAAGTGAATTTAAAACTTTTTTCAATTTTGCAATTTTCGCCTTAAACTTGAAATTCGCTTTGAACTAATTTGAAATCTCTCTCAGTTTGGTCTTTTCTGGACGCTGTTAACTTGTATCCTGTAAAACGCAGACTCTCACTTAATGAATAATCCTGTGAATGAACAAACTCACTATTCTCCAATCATCTACATATTTCTTTAGTTTTCCAAGATGAACACATTTGTGACCAATGTGAAACCTGTCTTTTTCTCTCAGTGGAAATATTCACGGGAAAACGATTCTCCATTTTATATCAGGGAGATTGTTAAATTAATATTAAAGGTGTCGCTTCATTTACTACTGTTATAAAAATGACAATGTCAAGAACCCCTCAAAGGAGAATTGTGAAAATTCTCGGATCTAGTCCTGGAACAATATGAAGATATTATTTGTGGTGAGCTGTGAGAATATTTCATGTGAAGAGCTTTTCTAACAAACCTTTCTGTAGCCCCAAGGAGAAAAGTGCAGATTAGCAGAGGAGGCCTTGACAGGGCTTTGAGGCTGGCTTAGGGGGAGCCTGATGGTGATTGGTGGGGTTGGGCTGATATAAATGTCAGCCATTTTAGAAATCCCCATTACTAATTTGACTTACCAGGCTGAGTTGGTGTTTTTGCATTGCTTGGGCCTGGTAAGTTTGGAGGAGGCAGCACAGGACAGGGGGATGGCGTGGCTGAGGGAGCGGCTCGAGCTGTCCTAGAGGCGCCTGGTCAAGATGGCCGCTGGGGCCGGCATCCGGCACGGCAGCAGAGACCGCCACAACGATTGAGCCCAGGTCACACGGTTGTGGATGGTGCCGGCCACGTGAGTGCTGGCACCCCTTGGTGGTCGGGAGGAATATCAGGCAAAAGCTGGAGCAGGGGCAGCACAGGACCTGGTCCTTGGAGGTGGACCTAGAGCTGTACACGGACGCCTCGGGCAGCTTAGGTTTTGGGGCTTATTTCAGGGGGGGGGTGGTGTGCTGAGACTTAGCCAGTGGCCTTGGCGGGCATCCTTCCTGGAGCTCTTCCCTCTGTTATTGGCTCTATCTCTCTGGGGTGCTCTCCTCAGGGATCGGAAGGTGGTATTCTACATGGACAACATGTCCGTGATGCACGCAGTTAATAATCTATCGGCTTCTTTGGCCCCAGTGGTGCGCCTCTTGTGTCACTTCGTGTCAGTGGCGTACATATAGGGGTCGCAGGGGTTGCAAACCGCCGGGGCTGCCGTTCAAGGGATCCATCGGGTGGCCCATGCTGTTAGGGCCACCTGAAAGGTATGGATTTTTAGAGGGCCCAGTCAGTGCTAAAGCTCTTTAACAGCGCGACCGGGTCCCCTGTGATCACATCACATGCTGGGAGGAAGTGACTGCCCCGGTCACTGCTCCCAGCATACACAGAGCCCGCGCGGGAGGAAGCTGAGGAGGGAGTCTGAGTGGGAACTCTGACTCCCATCAACCTGAGCCACCACTGGACCCCAGGGAAAGTCACCCTCCTGCACCTAAAAGGTAGGAAATAGGAGGGTGACTTAAACATTTTGTATATGTGTGTTTGTTTGTATCTGTATATGTGTGTTTCTATGTATGTATGTGTGCCTGTCTGTATGTATCTGTCTTTGTATGTATGTGTGTCTGTATGTATCTGTCTTTGTATGTATGTGTGTATGTGTCTGTTTCTGTCTGTATGTCTTGTGTGTGTCTGTCTGTATGCATGTGTCTTTGTGTCTGTATGTGTGTCTTGTGTGTGTGTCGGTCTACATGTATGTGTCTGTCTATATGTATGTGTCTGTATGTATCTGTCTGTCTTTATGTGTCTGTATGTATGTGTCTCTGTGTCTGTCGATGGGAGGAAGAGGGACAGGGGGGGCCATGGATCAGTTTCACACTGGGGCCCCATGGTTTATGTGTACACCACTGCTTTGTGTTGCTCTGTATGTTGCTCAACTCGGTGTTCTGCGCGTGCCATGTGCCAGGGTATTTGAATGTGGTGGCTGATTCTCTGTCTCGTTCGCAGTGGTCCTGATTTCGGGTGGAGGCACTGGAGACGTTGGCAGAAGGTCAGGAATGCCCAGGGGTGAGGTGGAGTCTCAGAACGGTTTGCTTGGGAGACTTGTGATGTCTTCATTGACCCCCAGTACATGGACGGCCTGTTGTGGCCAGATGTGCTTGTGCTGCATGTGAGCGGTAACGACCTTGGGCTTATCCCTCAATGGCTATTACTTAAGAGAATGAAGCAGGATGTGAATAGGATTAGAACCTGGGTCCCAGGGGTTCAGTTGGTGTGGTCGGAGATAGTTCCTCGGCTCCATTGGTGGTATGCACGGGATTCGGCAGCTGTGGGGTGCTGCCAAGGGAAGGGTAACGGGTTAATGGCTAGTTTTATATGGAAGTTAGGTAGGGTGGTAGTCAGGCACAGGGAACTGGAGGTCATGCTACCTGGCTATTATAGAAAGGATGGGGTGCATCTCTCAGATGTGGGATACGATTTGTTTAATTTGGGGCTGCAGGAAGGGCTGGCCAAAGCTTTGTTTCTTTGGTATGGCGGAGCTCAGATGGCTTAAGGGTTCAAGGTCTGAGCTTGTGGCAGGCTGGTATAAGGAAGGATAAGGGGGTAACAGGCCTGCTTAGGGAAGAGAAGAGCAAGAGTAGTTAGTTGGCTGGTAAATATGGTTGATTACCTGTTGGTAAGATGTTGGTGGTTTTCAAGCTTGTTGGTAGCTCAGAACTCGGGTGGTGTAGGGGTATCAAGGTATACCCCTGCCAGGATCGTGTGGAACATGTTGGATCTTATTTATGTTATACTTACGTGTTATACTATGTTATTTTATACATTATGGGTCATTGCCTTGTGATTTGATATGTGGGGAAGTGATAATATTGGATGACTGAGGATTTGGGGGTGAGCAATGACTTTAAAAAGTTATTTATATATTAGTGTTATTATTATTATTATTATTGTTGTTGTTGTTATTATTGTGAATACAATAAAATTAAAGCTGTGGACATATTGACCCATACCTGAGACTGTCAGTGTTTTATTAGGGGTGGGTTGGTATAAGGTAGTAGATAGCTCCTCCTGCTCATATGGCGACAATGCATCTGTCATGAACTGGAACAAGTATGTGTGTTCCTTTCATTCTAAATACTTTCTCTCACTTCTGCACTGGAGCCAAACACATGGAAATCTTGCAAGACGGGTTTGTCTGTGCAGAGTGCGGAGATATAATAATATAGACAATAATTACAATATTTTAGGAATACTTACAGCTGAGCAGCAGAGTAAAGACCACTAGAACAGGGCCCCTGAACCGACCCATTGTGGATCTAAAACAAAGAATCACAATGTTTGTCACCATGTGTTACACCACGAGTTACAATTCAACCTATTTCATGCAATCATAGAGAGATATTCTAGTAAATATAGACACAGTGGAGGACAGCAGAAACATTCAGTTTAGGGAGATATGGGTCTGGGGAAAACAAAGTTTCTCTTCTGAAAGAGAAGAAAGAACACACACATATATATATGGGCCAATAATGGGATACATTGACGTTGTAGCAGCCTTATGCAATGCATGATCATATACTGTAACTAAACCCCTATTGTTTTTGCTTAGGTGAGGTATTTTTAAATAAAATGATTACATTCTGCGACTTCGTGAGACTTGAAATTGCTGTTTAGTGAATGAGGGAATGCGCTGGATTGTGTATGTTGTATGATTTGGCCCCAGCAGCACCCTATAATGTAGGCATGTTCAGGGGAGTGCAGCCTCTTGGTTTCATATTTACATATTTAATTGCACAGTGGAACTAATTTCTTCTACTTTTTTCCTTAATTCACATATCATACATACATCATACACTTCACACACGTGTTACTGCATTTCACCCACCATGCCTTCTGCGATCATGTGATTCTAAACACTTTGGGTGAATGTCAAACTTTACTCAATTACACTTGATATCCCTTCTTTAGCTTTCTATTCATGACATATTAATATATAGACACTTCATTTCTTTATTATTCACCATTTTCATTTTTCATTTTATTTTTGTTATATTCGGCTGTGTTTTCTGCAGTTCTCCTTTACGCGTCATTTCACGGTCACAATACTTACCTTACATTATCTTCTTTGCATCCTCCTAATATGTGTTTAATCCCCATATGCGGAATGTTGAAATGGAGAGGGAGAAGGGATCGGAGGCAGATAAATATTAATACCTCACAATCCAAACTTTCCCAAGGCTAGGAAACAACCCAAAGATAAGTAACTAATAAAACATAATCTTTAATAAATATATTATAAATAGATTTTTGGATTATACAACTTGCAATTAATCATAAAATGGTAGCCAACGCCAGGCTAACAAAACCATCCAATAATAAGAGAAAAAAGAAAAGAAAAATAGAAATCATAATGAGTCAAATGAAATACAAATAAATAAAATAAAACACGAGCAAGCAAGCCGAAGCACAAAGTAACAATATACTACTCCGGTAGGTAAATAGAATTAAACAAAAAAGAGATACTAACAACTGGTGGAAACAAATGTAACAACAGTGAGAATAAATACGTATCTATGAGAGATAAACTCCTGAGAAATCGAGCACATCGAGGGGAGAAAGGTAAATGGTGATTAAGGGAAGGGATAACCTGTAGTTCCAAGTAGTTCCCTAATCCCCATACATCAACAATATGATGAATAGACTGATTCTTAAATATCCATAGCAATGCTTAGACGATCTTCCTGTTGCTATACAGCCTCTCACGCTGTTCACTTACATTGACGCAATTGCGTCAATGCTGGTACTCAGTTGGTAGATTGGGTTTGCCTAATACACACACATGTTTTGGTAAGTTAATTGATTATATTATATATATTGCATATTGTCTTAAAAAAGCCTCAAGAGTTCGAAACACTGACTTTTACAGTCATGGATTGAAACATTGAAATACACTTTGTTCACAAATTCCCTGAATGATATCATCATTTGGAATATAGTACATATTGCTGGAGCAAGCACCTAGGGTATAATTTTCTATATTTCCTAATAGCTGGAGTGCCAGACTTTTGGTTTGGTTTACAGATAGAGAGAGAAACAATCAAGTTGCTGGAATTGTGTACTGACATATCTGCACAGGATATGGGCTGGAAATGATGGGAGATACCACAAATGGTACTTGAGAATGACAGGGCTAAGATCCTGTGGGGCTTTCAGATCCAAACAGACAAGCAAGTATTGATCAACCAACTTGACTTTGTGGTGGTAGATAAGGAATGGAAGACTGCAATCGTGGTGGATGTGGCAATACCCAGTGATTATAACATCAGGAAGAAGGAACATGACAAGGCTGACAAATACCAAGGACTGACAGAAGAACTAGAAAGGATGTGGAAAGTGAAGGAAGTAGTAGTCCCAGTTGTGATAGGAGCACTCAGGGCTGTGACTCCCAAGTTGGGGTATTGGCTTCAACAGATTCCAGGTGGAACCTCTCAGATTGCTGTCCAGAAGAGTGCAGTTCTAGGACCCTCAGACTCACAGGCCTCTGGTAGAGAACCCAAGAAAGAGGAAATAATATAACACCCAGGAGGGATGAGAAAAACTATTTTTTTTTAATGTATATTTGTATACACATTTTTATTTGTTCTTTGCTAAACTGAACGGGTATAAATTAATATGTAGAATAGAGTATTTATTGCCATGCATTCCTAAAAAAGAATTTAGTTGGCAAATACTAAGTAGAGCAATTTGTCAGCACTTTGTCCCGAGATTTGAATCTCGGTGGGCTGAGTCCATTGATTTCTGGTTTATGCTTTCCGATGTGTGTACTCCCTTTTGAGAGTGACTCTAGGAAGACATCGCGACCCAATGGTAACAATGGTTACTTATGAGTTGGATAGTGATATCGGTTTGATATTGTGGCATGAGGTTAAAGTAGTTTACTTTATTGCCAGTGATGGTGAGAGTTCTAATACCGAGGAAGCACTGACTTCATGACTGGCTTAGAACATTACTGAAAAACATTTACCCCTTCTCCAAATATCTTTAGCCCAGAATTCTACATCTAAATCACTGTGGAATATGTTGGAGCATATAAATGGCAAAATGAATAATAACAAAATATAATAATCACATGAGTCAATCTGTTGTGATTGAAATAATATTTCTAATAATCCTTATCTAATCATAAGTCTGTCTCTCTCCAAGGTAGTTAACTATTTCATTTCAGACCTTGCAATATTTCTATATAAAACATGGTAGGACTTTCACTGTAGGACTTTTACTAATTAAAATATGTACATTGTGCACTGACAAAAAAACAAACTGAAACAAATGTAAATATACAGCGTAAAGGGCAAACTTATACAATGCTTACTGTATTGACATAAATTCTGAGTATATATCGTAGAGGCTGTGTTTAAAATTACCAAAGATAATAATAATAATAATAATAATAATAATAATAGTTATAGATCTCTCGCAGCTCAGCAGTGTTGGAGTAAATTTTAGTTTGGTAGATGGTGACTGGTGACAATACAGTAGAATATGTTTGTGACTTAAAAGTATATAATATTATTAAAAATATTCCTGTATTATATACAAATAAATCTAAATAGAATGTATCCCTGACACTTACTGGTGGGACTGGTACGAGTCTCTGTGTCAGTTCATGTGAACAGATTGATATACCTACCTGTGGTCACTACTATAAAAAGAAACTTTGCTACTTGATCCTATGTATTGGCAGAATGCCGGCTTACCTTGTCTCAGGCTGCGGTGTGATATTTACCCAATCATTCCATAGCCTTACTTTTATCTCAATTCTCAGCCCCTGATATGCCAGCTGGAAGAATCTCAGCCCCTCCCTGTCTCAGTGAGCACATCTCTCATTCCATGAAGCTATTTCAAGACAGTTGGGCGAATCTCAGCCCTCTCTTTCACATCTCTCATGCCATGAAGCTATTTCCAACCAGTTTGGCCAATGCCAGCCCTCTCATTCACATCTCTCATTCCATGAATCTATTTTCAGACAGTTGAGAAAAATCACCTGACTGGTAAATGTGTATCAAGTCAGGTTAGGTAACTTAGTTATATCATATATCACTGAAAATCAGAGAGAGGCAGATGTTTGCACATATGGTTAAAATGGAAATTTTCTGAGAAGAGAGAAGAGAACTGTGTATTCATAAATTTGAATTTACTTTGAATTCCCAACAATCCTTACTTTATTGAATAACTCTGTCAGTGTTATGACTATCTAATCATTTAAGACAGCAATGAATAAATATTGAGCAAGTCCAACCAGTCTTCTGGGACCTCCAGCGATCCCGGGGATTATCCCAGTTTCTTCTGGTGGGGATCACAGTGGGTCTCGATCAATGGCTCTGAGTAACAATGAAAACATAACTTGCCAATCCAACAATCTGTCTCACACAGCTTGCAATCAGTTGTATACAGGGGGATTTCCAATGCATTTTCCCAAGTTTTTTTAAAGAGGATATTAGATGGTGGTAGGTGGTGACAGACCCATTTCCCAATTTATTTACTAGCTGAGGAGTGCGCTGTTCTCCAAATCTGTATCACTATCGCTATTGTGTCTCCCCACTGGAAGTGTCAAAAAGTTATAAAAAGAAAAGATTTACTTACCTTTTCCAGCACCGGAGCTCCATTGGTGTCACTAACCTCTCCTCTTCCAGCTACAAAAATGGACATGGCTTCCTCAGTCACGTCCAATCCAATATTCCTCATATGGGAGCATTGGGGCCCTAATGTGCAAGCATAGCGAGTGCTGCACTCTCACTCTAACCTCCCCATAATATTGAATCAATGCTTTTGTATGGGCTCCTGCGTTATGTTCAGTATTACAGCCACTTAACCCAGTTATTACAGGATTAAACACTGTTATGTAAACATTGTATTTTCTCTAAATTGCAGCATTAAGAGGACAGGGGTGATGCACCAAGACCACGTCGATAGGAAGGACTGTGGATGAATATAGTGTCCATTTTACCTGTATTTTGTACAGTGAAAGTGATCTTTTCAGTAGCACCACTATTAAGAAATACACGTTTATCTGTAACATGAAAGCATCATCGATTATGAGAGTTATTAGTATTATGAGAAAACAGACAGAAAGTGCTAGATTCGTTGGCCTCGTGTGACGATCCCGAGACCAGAGTGAATAAACATCAGTTTCAACAGATTATCAGGTGATCTGTCTGAAACAGGATCTTCCAAATAAATGGGAAAATTAGTCAAATATAAGATAGCTTAAAACCTTTAGATTATAATAATAAGAGCATCTTACACATC